AGCTTGTTATTCAAATAAATTGCAGTTTTATCCAATTGCACATTTTGAAATTAAATTATTTTTATAGGTGGACCTTTTATTGGAAATTTTCAAAATTCTTTTTTTATAAACGTATTATCTGATGTCGGACCAACGCGAACGTCATGGCATATTCCCGAACTTGTATTTGCAATTTTCCAAGGTATGTTTGCTTCCGTCACTCCTGCCATCGTTATTGGATCAGCAGCAGAACGTATAAGAGTGATTCCTACCCTCATATTCACCTTTATATGGACCACACTTGTATATGATTTTATCGCTTCATGGTGTTGGTCTGCTAATGGCTGGTATTCCCAACTTGGTGGTCTCGATTTTGCTGGTAAATTAAAATGTAAATACATCCCAATTTTTAAAATTGGTAAATATATATTTATATCTTTATTATTATTATTATTTTAGGGGGTACTCCAGTGCATCTTACGGCTGGTTCAGCAGCTCTAGCATATTGTATTTTTCTTGGAAAACGATATGGTCATGGAATAGATGAATTTAAGCCACATAACGCAACTTACGTAGTTCTTGGTACAGTATTTCTCTGGTTCGGGTGGTTCGGTTTTAATGGTGGTTCTGCAGAAGCAGCAAATGTAAGCCCATTTTTAAGCTCTAGATTAATTATTATTGTAATTAAAAATATCAACTATAATTGACGTTGCATACATATTTTTTATCGCAGATGCGTGCCATTCTTGCATGTACTGTGACTAATTTGGCCGCGTCATCAGGTGGACTTACATGGATGATTATAAGTTACCGATTCGAGCATAAGCTGTCAGCAATTGAATTCTGTTCAGGAGTTGTCGCTGGTTTAGTTGCAGTAACACCGGGATCCGGTTATATTGCACCTCATTTTGCTATTGTTTTTGGTGTTTGTGGTGGAGCTATTTGTAATTTAGCAATTAAATTGAAACATACTTTTGATTACGATGATGCTTTAGATGTTTTTGCCATTCATGGTATTGGTGGATTGGTTGGGAATGTTCTTACTGGTATATTTGCAGATAAAAATATCGCAGCACTTAGCGGTGAAGAGATTATGGGAGGTTTGTGCATTGTCAGTAGATTCTTGATTTTGATTGACGATCAAAAACTTAAGTCGAAGTTACTTAAACTTTTACTAATGAAACTACAGCTGCACATTAAGTGAAAAATGTTCCCGGCTAATTTACCATTGTGCGGGCCTATTTCACTAAAAATTAAAAAGTTAATTCCGGCCAAAAATTTTGTAAACAAAATGTAATGCGGGCCAGATTTTGTAGACCACGGTCGTTAACCAATCAAAATCGAGAA